TTGAGTCTCATTTTAACCTCAATTCCCTCGAAAATCCAAAGCCTTCGCCGCCATTTTTGTCAATAAAGAATGGAAGCGCCCGCGATAAAATCAGCGGAAATCGTTCTGCGCACACTCAGTGGAATGTAAATATTAGCCAATCAGCGGTTTTTTAGCCGTGTCCAGGAAAAGTGCCAAACAAGCATCTCTAGCTAGCTGGGTAGAAGACTCATCATGAAGTTTTCATCCAGTAAGTATATTTAAAGTTCTTTCTTCGTTTGCGTCAGGCAGTAGTTTCATACATCGTTGTTGCACCATAGCGAAATAAGGTCAAGATTATAGGCGACTTGTTCACCTTACTTACAACTCGATGCTGCTCGCTATCGCTCGCAGCAATAAGCTATAGTTAATGCACCATTCAATGTAAACCCCACCCTACCCAGTCCGGGGTTAAGCGGGATGAGCGGGGTTTTTATCTTGAATTGACGTTTTTTATGGCCCCGGTTTGCGGGGAGTAATCTTACTTTTTTCACTCACTCTCGGAAGCGCCATCTTGGAAAATACCCAGAGTGTCGGTGAGTTTATATTTCCATATTGTAATTTCAAGGCATATTTATTCTAGAAAATTGAAGATAGGCAATGTAAATCTTGTTTTTTATCCAACAGGAACTATAGCTACTCCATACAAGCTTAAAACATTCTTGATTACGAACCAAGCTTTAATCGCTTAATATTATAGGTAAATTCATCACAGGGGGCCCAGGCTCAACAGTTGTGTTGTTTTCACGGCGGTGTCAAAGTATTAATTACGGGGTTCGCGGTTCGAGCCCTCATGAAGCCGTAAATTTTTTCTACTTCATTTCTTGAGACTTTTCAAGACTTTCTTTTTCTTTTCTTTTTTCTTTAATTAGTATAAACAGTTTTATGAATAAAGATTGATTTTTAAAGCCATTTTAATATTTTTCCCCCCTCGTACATAAAAATAGACAAGGGAGGTAAGTCAGCGATCGAAATTTGCCAACCGGCTATTTTTATGTACGAGGGGGGAAAAATATTAAAATGGCTTTAAAAATCAATCTTTATTCATAAAACTGTTTATACTAATTAAAGAAAAAAGAAAAGAAAAAGAAAGTCTTGAAAAGTCTCAAGAAATGAAGTAGAAAAAATGAAAATATTTTGCTTCTTGAAATCTAGAGAAAGTGAATAGACAAGTTGTTGGGAACTAAAACAATTAGATAATAACTTTTGCCAGGGTTTTACACGGATTTTGTGAGTAAATTGTTGAAATAACGCAAGTGTTTTTAAGGTAGCTTATCGGGGCGTTGAATTCAGGTTTCTCAGCGTTGAATTCAGGTTTCTCACAGTTGAATTCCACTTGAAATACCCTCTCATCCGGTTGACGTGTTGACCAATCAACGCACGACTTTAAAATTGAGGTATGAGATTCTAAAGTAAATTCAATATATACCTATAGAAAAAAAACCCCTTGGGGCGGGGTTTGTGACCACTTTGGAAAAACAAAACGTCCCCAGAATGTAGGGCATTTTCTTACATTTACAGAGTCTAAAATCAAATCCCAGCTTAACACCGGCCTGGGTAGGGTGGGGGTTTACATTGACTGGTGCATAATATAAATCAACCCCAGAGGAAATTGTGAGATATACTGCCAGGAAATGCCAAAGAAAAGATCAAAGGATTGTGACTGACATTTCCAAAGCAAAGAAATAAAACTTGTTGAAATTAGAAATGCACCATGAGACAATTTAATAGACCCACTAAGCTTATATTAAGCATAGGCTACCCAACTATTGCTTGAAAGAAAGAAAAGAACGAATGCGCACGCTTTTATATTATGTTATCGAATCACATCTCGCTGCGGGTTTCCTGTGGTATTACGTTATTGATCCCTTGCCTCGCGGGTATTTTTTCGAAAAGGCGCGCTCTGCGGGTTACTTTACGTCACGATCCCACTCCTCGCGGGATACAAACTAGTCTGTGACAAGGTATGAAACACTGGTCACGTGACAAATATAATTTTGCTCATTTTTCACCGAAAAACAACAGAAAACGACTATTTTCTTCCAAATAACTACACATCGTCACGTTCGCATTCCTGAAATATTTCTAGGAGGTCATGACTTTTTGATTCAAACTATAATTTTCTTACAAAGTGCACATTAATTTGTTATTCAAATTACTGATGTTCATGTTAACTTCTTTTAACAGCTTCCCTCTACTATTGGGAGGCAGATGTCAAACCATCAGAACTTAAGCAGACATGGCATGTTAGTTTTGCTTTCTGTTTGTGGTCAGCACAATCACTCACACAATCACATGGTATGAAATATAGCAATAGTGGTGATACTCGCTCGTAATGCTTACAGCAAATATATATAATGTACGAAAAATCTATTAATTATTTTTACGAAATGTTATGCTATTGCTTGAGTTCTAGAAATCTTGATTACATTTTACAATTATTTTTGTTTAAATACATATTTAAAAATGTCTCAAAAAATTGTACATAATTTCATTTGTTATAAAACTTATACTGATATTCATATTAACTTTTCTTAACAGCTTGCTTCTACTTGCTAAAAGAAGCTAAAGGATCAGAATGTGGTCATCTTCGTTTGGCTGGTTTTGCTTTTGGTATTTTGTGCCAGATTTTCAAGATGTACATTTATGGAGAAAATATTGGCTTCATAATGAGTGAAAGCCGGCTTTCTTGGTTTTTTCTAGCTGTCTGCAGTTATTTTACTGCACAAAAGTACTTGGACCCAGTTTTTCACGGTACAAAATCAAGCAATAAAGCAATATAACATACATTCAACTTTAATGCAGTGCACAATCTCATAGATTAGTGTTGTTTAATATTTACTTTTATTAGTTTTTGGGGAAACCGTTGCGTGGAGAACTGAGAACAACGATTGTCGAAGGAAGATTGCACGACCGAAAGGGACTATGGTTACACTGTTTTTATAAACAAAAATTTCACTTATTGTATTCACCTTATATGGAAATGGAGACTAAATGGAGCCAAAGTTTACCACAGACTATCTTACAATACAAATCAGTTGTTATAAACTGTCTTTCAATAGGCAAAACCCATGGCTAATTTCAGTCGTGCAATCACCGTTCGAGCATTGACATTCTCCATTTTCTCCAACAACCTTTTTTGAAATAGCTATATTTAACAATGTTGTCTTGCAAATGTACAAATTTTATTTGGTATTATACCTCCTGATATTCATCTTTTTTTAACAGTTAACAGGCTTATTTTTTTTGGTCTTGGTTTTGGTGCTTTTTGTTCTTTGTTGCCGATTTACCTGGGGTATATATTAAGAGCTGCCATTTGCAAAGAGATTGAATATTTTCAAGTAATACTTAGTAGCGGTTACATTGTAGCTGTCTTCTTGTTGGCTGGAGTAATACGGATGTTCTTGTCCTCAACAACTCACGGTATGAAATGGAGCAATATACTCAGCTGCAGTAAAAAATCCATGCCACTTTAATTTTATACTGGGCCCAATTCTTCTATACGGCATTGATACTTTTTCACTATACATTATTATTTTTAGTGTATGTTTTTCAATCCAATAAGCTCTTGTTGCTTTACATTTATTTTGTTGCTTTACATTTATGTATGTTTAACAATGTTATCTTTATAAATATATAAATGTGCAATTTTCATTTTTTAATTTGCAAAATTCAGAGCTCGAAATTTTGAGCTAAGTATTTTTATGTCAATAAAATACATTTTGTTAAAGGGACACTGTCAATGGCACACATGCACGAGTAAACTTGAAAACATTAGTCTAATGTTTTCAAGTTTATGACTCCAAGTTGGCGCGTCATAAATAAGCTCGTAAACGTAAACAGATCTAGAATATTCCAAAGTGTGTCAAAAGCACCACAAAATGATTTTCCTCGAAGGTAATACTTTCAAAGTCCGTTAGAGGTGAGACTATTACTGCGCATGTCATCCATTGACAGTGTCCCTTTAACATTCGTAATAAAAGACTTTGTAACGGCCGACACAGCAAATTAAATACGACGGCTTATATCGCGCATGTAGACACAGAAAATATAGAAACGACGAAACAGGGATATTTTACGGACTGAACTTGTGACGTTTATTTGCCAAGAACTTGTCGTAAACTATAGAATCAATACTTTAAGCTAAATGATATATGCATTCCAATTATACCATAGCGTTGATACATATTTAACACAATAGCAAAATAGGCATAAAATATAAGGAACTAGACGCCCCTGGGGCGTGAAGTCGGACTAGCTATTTTTGAAAATTGATAGACACGAGTGAAAAGATTATGATGTTATATTTTGTTTAATCATATGATTATATAATGAATGCAAATGAAACTTGAGAAAAACAGGAGGATATTACATAAAATACAAAAATTAGATTAAAATATATATTTCTTAATTTTTCTCCAAAAAAGCCGAACTCACGGTCTAATAAGAGCGTCTAGTTCAAAATATCCAAACTCTCTTGAGACTAAAATAAACTTGACCTAAAAKGTCATGTAATTAAAAGAGTCCTTGCTTTCACTGATAAAATCAAAYGTGCTATGTAGAGATCTGAAGTGACGCTAAGTCACTAAGTGATAACGTTGACCTCTCAGGCCAAGAAAATACTTTACAAAGTAAATGATACCTATAAAATCATTAAACTCGCCTTTTTTTTATTGATAAAAAATGTTTCTTCTTGTTCTAATTTGAAATCTTTGCCCACACAACACTGCCTAACGCTAAAAAGGCCATTGATTTAGTTTCGAAAGCATACTACTCGAAGCACCAAGCGATCTGCACATGCGCATACTTATGATACCTAGACTGATGCATTCCGATGAGATCACAGATACCACATTTGTAAACGAATAGTTTTTTTGTCATATAAAAGCGCGAGTAGCATATAACATTTACTAACGATATTCGTACATCAATACGTTTGAGCTTCCGGTCATGTAATAACACAGCCAAACCAATAGTTAATTATTAAATTCTTAACTTCCGGCGGTCCAAACGCGACATGACACATAGATACATGTAGATAGATAGATTGGCTAAAAGGTAAATTTAAAGTCGGACTGCCTTCGGCTAATCCGACAGCGAGCATAACTAAGTAACGATAATACTGGTAAAGTATACAAGAAGAAAACATACAATAAGAATATGATTATGAAACACTAAGTAACTAAACTGAGTCAATGAGACACGCCTGATGGGCCCGGGGGGGGGACTCCCTAATATCAAAGGGCGGGGGTCCTCGGCGTCCCTTTTAGGGTTTGAAATTAGTATTTTGGTCCCGCTTAGGGTGATAATGAAAAGAATTCCTACCAACTGTGTTTTGTGGTCCCTTTTAGGGTATACGGCGACCCTAAGCAGTCATAAAATGTTAACGTTGTCATAAACTCAATACGAGCCGACGGTGTTCGATGATTGTGTAAAAACACAAATAAAATCGGTAAACCAAAACAAAATGACCTGTTATTGATTGGTCCCTTTTAGGGTTGAAATTTCAGCACTGCCACGCCCATCATCTCACAATAGAGGTCCCTTTTAGGGGTCATTTTCACAATCTCCGCCGAGGACCCCCGCCCTTTGATATTAGGGAGTCCCCCCCCGGGCTGATGGGCTTAATCATGTATTATCACAAACTAGTAAACTTGGCGATAACTTGTTTCTTAGTATAAAGGATAAAGTTATACTTACATAACAGTCCCGCTTGCCGAGGTAAAGATAAAACAAATCCAACAACGTTACAGACCTTGTTAGGTGTATCCTCGTCGATTGCTTGCACTAGAACTAGCTATTCTGATTCGGGACATGTTCTTACTATGGCTAGCAAAACCACAAGGTACTAGACTATTGGCTAGTGTAGAAGCTAGCTTATATTACGGGAAATATAGTATCTAGATAGGGACTAACCACACTATTTAGGGTATTTCCTTTACAGACTTATTAGATAATCATACCTTCTAAATTGTCATTGGAGCTCCATTATTAAGTTTTATTTTTTTGACAGGTCACCTCTACAAACCTAAAGAGCCTTCATCATATGAGTGCTTCTATCTTGGTTTAATTGTTGTTTATTCTTCCTTCCTTTACTTTACTAATGAGGTTACAGTTTGCATCCCCACTGTCATGTTCAAAAAGATTGGAGATATTGCAGTATTTTTACAATGTGTGATTATAATATGGTTTTCTGTTATAATGCTCTGTATTATATGGGAAATCAAAGCTGACAAGTACTTCTGTTCAGTCTTTAATGGTACGAAATCAAGCAATATAGTATTAAAAAATACGTTACACTTTGATGTTGTGCACAATCCTATAGCTTATAGTGTTGATACTCAATTGTTGTACTTGCTTGCAGCAAATATTTGGGTCATTCCACAGTATTTTGATTTCTCACATTTGTTTTTCAATTTGAACCAAACTGCTCCCCTAGTTGAGCAGTTTCACAAAATATATGACTCAAGTTCATAGCGTCATTACACTTATTAGCAATAATCAAATTCCATTTTTCAAAATGTAGTCTCCGCAACATTTTTACACATTAAAGTTTGTCCTGTTTGCTCACTGCTTGCATGAGGTTTTGAGAAGTTCTAATTCTTAACTAAGGAAAGCATATTCACAAAAAAGATTTCAGTTTTTGCCATTAGTTGTCTAAATATGTCACTTTTAATTTTGTTGTGGAGACTTCAATTTTAAAAGAAATCTTCTCAGTGTGGTCAAAAAATGTTTACCTGTTGAAAATAAAACAAACATAGAATGTTTATTGAACTTCTACATTTAATTTTATTTTTTAAAGTGTATTAGTAACTATGCATATTAGACTGCTAATTATTACTATGGGCTTCCTGTGGTAGGAATCTAAGCATTTGCATTTAAAAAAATAAGGTTTATGGGTATTTCATTGAAAATTCTAAACTACAATGTCTACAAGTACTGAAAGAAGTAGAAAATACACTGGATTTCATTTCTCCAGTACTTGTACTTTGATAACGACATTACCTACTGAACATCAAGTCATGACCTGAAAAATTTGAGCTTATCTGAGCTCTTTGCTCATAATGTTATTTCACTGAGGACACTGCTGTTATGCTATTTTAGGTCAAATACAATTCTGCATTTTGTAATGAATCAAATCTGTATAATTGCTTCTGCGGTGGAAAATTATTTTGTATATGAACATGATTTAAATTGTGACAACACTGTTCGCATTTAGAGGTTATCTTTTTAGATGATCATGCATGTAAAATTTTGCATTATTATCTTTTACATTATTCCTATGAGTAAAATATATAAAATATATAAAGTCATATTTTAATGTGACTAACAATATACAATAAACAGCATTTGTCTTTTTTTATTTTTTTTTATAAAAGAAATTTTTGTAGTCTCTGCAACGTAGTCTCCGCAACAGCACTACCTTTACATAATCAACATTTCCAGGTAATGTAGTACTCTGAGACCAAAGAAGAAAGAGAGATTTTCTGTGTAGTCTCCGCAACAGCTGTTTAACTCAATGTAGCTCTGGACCCTTTTGATAATAACAAAAGTGTTATATATTTTTGGAGCCCTATCTTACAATATTGGAATCTACTTTTTTTCTTTGTTGAGTGGAAAGGTACAATCATTTTATTTCAATCTCTGAATTGTAGTCTTCGCAACGACAAAATACTGTGAAATGACCCATTTATGTATATGATCATGTAGTCAAAGTCTATTGTTTTTATTATTTTTACTAAATGGTTTGCTGCATTTTTAGTCAATGTATATTCAATACAAATTTTATTTGATATATATAAAATTACTTAATATATTCAATTAATTTTTTTCAACAGCTACATTCTACAAATTCTTCATCCAAACAAATTTTATCAGTAAAGTTAATTTTGCTCTCAACCACAACCTGGGAGCATATAATGTTTCTGATGTGGACAAATTTGTTCTATCATGTCGTTCTGTTGGAGCATTAGTAGTAAAACAAATCAATGGTGAAGTGATTGTAAAAGGCACCTGCTTCAGGGTGGGTCCAAACTATGTCATTTCAAATCTGCATGTCTATAACAACATAATCAATGCACATCAGTTTACTGAAGGTATTTATGTTGATTTTGATTACACCATTAAGAATGGTATTTCTCCCTCCTGTTGTACTATTTTGAAGATCATAATCGGATCTGAGGATCTTGATTATATAATATTTGAGATTGGAAAATCTGATGATGTGGAATTACCAAAAAGTGTAACGTCTATATTTAAAATTCCATCATCTGTTGAACGTGCCAATGAGGGTGTGTTTCATTTCTGTGGGTATCCTGATAGAGCAGATCAAAAAAAGGTAAATCTATTCTGTCCAGTGAGGAATCCTGAAGAATGCTTGGTGATGTGTCTTAAAAATGCAGAGCAGCAACTACTACAGGATCCAAGAAGACAATGCTATGATGTTAGCACCTTTTTTCATGGAAGTTCAGGGTCTCCAGGGGTGTTACTAGAGTATGGTGCCCTAATGGTACTGCACTGCAGAGGGTTTTTCTTGAGTGATAGCAACGGAAGTATCATTGAACAAGGAGTGTTAATGTCTGCTATTGTAGCAGATGTTACAAATGAACTTGGTTATGACCGGGCATTGGAATTGTTCGATTTAGATGAAAAGATGGAATTAGACTGAACTTTCATGGTCAATAGACCTAATCGGCTCACAAATTGCTATGTACGTTGCCACCTAATTCAAATCCTGTGGGAAAAAGAACTTTTGTTTCTAAGAATTCAACTGTGAAATGAAATTACACCCCGTGGTCTGAATTGGTTTGAAGACGATTAGGTCTATTTGCTTACTTTTATAGACTTGCTGTCTAGCAGCTAGATCTAGATTTCAGTGAAACTACTACTACCAGAGCCACCTGACAAATTAGTCTTGAACCAACCATATTGCAGGCTTTATTTCAGCGAGTCTGTGTTTTTTTCACTGACCAATCACAATTCAAACTGATAGAAGAGGAGCATGGGAACACTACAATTTGATTGGATAAGGTATTATCAGTGATCAATTAATTCATTGTTTCAGTTTTCTTATTGGTCAATTTTACTCAAGTGGACCCTGGTTGAAGTAGTTACACTGTACGTTTTCCACTTGAAATGCAACAATTTTCTATAATTGAATTAGTAGATATTTAAATGGGCAATGGCTAGACTTTGCTTGGAGCCGGTCTAGAATGGAGAAGTAAGGCGTCTCCTTCCCTCCACTAGTCTGGGTGTACACCTTGGGCAAGTGTTAGCACACCCTAAGCCTCCCTTGTTGGGTAACAACTTATTAATCAAGCTGTGCAGACTTTGTGAAAAAACAGTCTTAACTCATTTGTACCTCAGTCAACACCAGCTGGCAAAACGGCACGAAACTTGTGGCTGTGCCTGACTTATATTGTAACAATATGAATTGTAGATATAAGGAGTATTATATTTATAATATCATTGTATTTGGTAGAAAAGAATGTGAATAAAGTTATGAAATAACATTATCGCAGAAACCTAAGTTTAGTTCTTAATATTTTAGTAGTACTTTTAGTAGTACCTTAAGTACAATCAGAAGATTGCCAAACAAAAACATTTTATGTATTATGAAAGCTCCACCAACTATAATTTTATTTGTTAAATCTATATATTTTTTTAATTAATTTTTTTAGATGTAATTTTGAATTTCATCTTATTGTCATAGTTCTAAATTAAGACAAGATTCCTAGTGATAAGCTAAGTGCATGCATGTAGACTAAAAACAGCACAAAAAATGTCTAATAAAGCTATTTTAAAAGTTTTATACTTGTTTAATTAGAGTGAAGATATTTCTTTTCAAAGCAAACAATGTATAATAAAATAATTATTGGATGCAGTGTTTGGAGTATCTGAAATAATCAAGGTCTCGGCAAGTGTGATCACCCTTGACCTTGGTCTTGATTATTTTGGATATCACAAAAACCTCATCCAAATGCTCATTATCAGCTGGTTTAAATATGGGATTTGAAATGAGTTACCACTCATCTCAGCTCGACAGGCGCAAGACAGTCGAAGCAAGGAATCAATTGTTGAATGACAATGGGCAATGGAAAGATGGGGGCCGAATTGTTCAAAGATTGATTACCTAATCCTGCGTCAAATCTTACAAAACGTTTGGAGTTAACCAGTGTTTAAACTCTGCCAAAACTAAAACACAACAACAAAAACAGCTATAACTTTTGTTTTATTTATTTATTCATTAAGTCATCCTAATTATGCCTGTCTATTTTTTTTAAATATCTTATTGTAACTGTATTCCTTAATCACCCTTTAAAGACAGCCTAATATATTCTGTCTACTGTAACTTAATTATTTTATGAATGTGGGATCCCTGTGGAAAAAATGAGCCCTAAGACCCAACATTTTTTAGGCCAGCGCTCTGAGCCTAGAAGCGATTTGAAGGTGCACTTGCACCCGAGAAGCTTTGCGATAGTTTGTTTTTAGTTGAAAGTTTTTACAATCAAAGATGGCTATCACTTCAAGGGACATGGTCCACCAGCATCCCTTTCGAGCTTTTGTTTATGTTTGAAAATAGAAATACATCGTAATATAAGCAAAAACTTACTCTTTATTGTTCCTTTATCCTATATGAATCGAGATGCTTTAAGATTCGACCGTTAAACCGATGGATGGAAACGGATTGCAAATGGATATTCGAAGTCACCTCATTTTCCATATATGAAAAATCTAAAACACGACCGCATTGCATGCTAGTGGACCATGTCCCTTTAA